ACCCTGGGGTGGCTCTGGGGACACCTGGGGTGGCTCTGGGGACACCCAGCACGGTCAGGGGCACCCTGAAACAGCTTTGGGGACACCTGGGGTGGCTCTGGGGACACCCAGAACGGTCAGGGGCACCCTGGAACAACTCTGGGGACACCCAGAATGGCCTAGGGGCACCCTGGGGTGGCTCTGGGGACACCCAGCACGGCCTAGGGGCACCCTGGGGTGGCTTTGGGGACACCCGGGGTGCCTCTGGGGACACCTGGGGTGCCTCTGGGGACACCCAGCACGGCCTAGGGGCACCCAAGGATGGTTTTAGGGACACTCTGGGGTCGCTTTGGGGACATCCAGCCTGGCCTAGGGACACTCGAGGGTGGCTTTGGGGACACCCAGCCTAGCCTAGCAGCACCCTGGGGTGATTTTAGGGACTCCCCCAGTGGTTTGGGGACACCTAGCCTGGCCTAGGAACACCCAAGGGTGGTTTTGGGGACACCTAGCCTGGCCTAGGAACACCCTAGAATGGCTTTTGTTCCCTGAGGTGGTTTTGGGGACATCTAGGGTGGCTTTAGGGACTCCCTTGGTGGCTTTGGGGACACCCAGCCCAGCCTAGGGACGCCCTGGAGTGGCTTTAGGGACTCTACTGGTGGCTTTGTGTTCCTGGAGTTGCTTTGGGAATCCCTGGAGTGGCCTTGGGGACATCTGGAGTGGCCTTGGGGACATCTGGAGGTGCTTTAGGGATGTGTGCAATGGCTCTGGGGACCTGTGTGGTGGGCTAGGGACACCCCAGGGTGGCTTTGAGGACCCCTCCAGTGGCTTTAGGCACCCCTCTGGTGCTTTTGGGTTCCCCTGGGGACAGGTGGGTGGGCTTTGAGGACCCTCAGGGTGGCTTTTGTCCCCAGTGTCACCCACCGGTGCGGTTGAGCGTGGCCATGCTGGACACGGCCTCCTGATAGGCCAACTCCACCTCCTCCCGTGTCACCACCAGCTTGATCTTGTTCCAGCGCTCAGGCTGCAGGGACAGCGAGGGGACAGCGAGGGGACAGCGAGGGGACAGCGTCAGGGACCCCGCAGTGGCCTTGGGGACACACCCACGGCGCCCAGGGGTCCCCTCAGGGACACTGGGGGTGGCTTTGGGG